GGAAATTTTAGCACGTTTTCACCGGATTCGAAGGAAATCACCTTGGAACAGAGTCAACTAGAATGTTTCGGTAAAGCCACTCGTCATCTGCTATCGTCTTCTGATGGGATCGAGCTTCGAATCTCTCCATCAGACGCTTTCACTCGAAGAGGAAATAAGCTGAGCAAGTATGAAACAAGGGATGCCTCGAAACCCTACTTTTCTTCGCATCTACTTAAAGGATAAATAATTCTGAAAGTAACAGCATGAGTTATAAAAAATTATAATTCCATTTTAATGTTTACTAGTCTATTAAGCAATGGGGCTAGATTTAGAAAGCCTTTTGGCCCGGACCCGAAGTACCTTCTTTTCGTGTGTCCTGCCAAATCGTCCAAAAGCAACATTCCACCAGAGAAAAATCATTCACTAACATGGGCTGGATAAGGATGCGCCCAAATCCCTCCTTTACTCTCTTAATTATAATCTCGCCCATCCATCCCGCTCATTGTCTCTCCCTTTAAAAATAGGATTCTCTGATTTTGGTAGGTCCATATTCATAAACACATACCGGGCGACGGAACATTTAAACTTAAAATAACCAAAACCCAAATTGTCATGTATGACCTATCGTTTAATTCATGTGTGCTCTGTTTAGACTCACATAATCGAGGCTACCGTGAGATTACTCCGAGGAGTTCGAACTATAACAATGTATGAATTCTCATAATAACCATGCAAATAGGATGAATCAATTCGGAGATATCTTGCAATAGCAAAGGTAAATAGGCTGTAGATAAAAGTGAATTGGAAGTGACAATTGATACATTTGTACATAAAAAGGTGTAGGCTTAAAAGTGATGAAGAAATGAAAGATGCAGAAAGCAGCTGCTCAGCTACCGAGATTTTCCGCAATGCACATTTTCTCACAATCATGCAGCTTCCACCAGGAGGCGAATGTTTCATTTTGCGACAAATCGTTGTTTTCCGGCAGCAGAGCTGCTACCAAATGGGTCTGCCGGACTTTGTTGCTCTGTAATGTATCGAGCTTATCTTTTGTGATGTACAGATTGGGCATGCCCCATGGGAGAATTTGCAGCCTCAGAAGTGTGATGCCAAGGAAGCCGGCGGAGTGGCGTACCAGCCGAACCATTCGAGCCGCAATGTAGAGGTCGAGCAGAAGTTCGGCTCCAATAAAAGTGGCCTGCAGATTCACGAAATCCGGCCACTCCGACAGGGCAAACTCGGAGAACGGTACGTGTTCGGGGTGCTTTATGTTGCGCTGCACCAAGGCATGTTTGTAAAATTCACCCGCGACAAGGTGCTCTCGTGCGCTGTCCGAGACGGATTCAATGAAGCCGATCACATTTTCTGGAACAAGAAAGATTTCGTCGCTTGTGAATAGCACCAATTTGGCATATTTGCAGTAGGCCAGACTCCATTGGAGGCCAAGAAAGAGCTTATGTGTGTTGGCCCAAATGTCTGGATCATCAAAGCTCTGTACCACAAGGTCGTTCTCCTGTCGCGCTTCCGACAGCAGCTTGATCACTTCTTCCACATCTCCTTTGGGTGGGATTCCCGTGAGAAAGACATGGCGCACATTTCGACCAGCATAACAGTTGTCGCGTGCCCAGTATTTGCGAATCAGACCACGTTGTTGGGCCCGATATGGTCGACTGGAGATCACCACCAACAGGTCTATCACCCGATCAAGACGGTTCATATCACAGACAGTTACGGCATCGTACAGCAGACGAGAGCTAATGGCGTCTGTCCAGTTGCTGTCCATCAGATTGCGAGTAGTATTGCTCAACTGGAGGCCATTCTTGAAGCGGCAGAGCTCACTGGCCACATCCACGTTCTCGGGATGTGGAACACGCATGGAAGAGAATAGCGGGCTTCGAGTAGGAATTGGAAGCAGTCTCATTTCCTTATTGGCATCACTCTTTGCAGTCTCAACAGATTTGCATGGATTGTAGAAGATACGAGGTGATAATGAGTCGGGCGTCAAGTGCATAAGAGCGTTCCAGTCTGATCTTCTGCTCTTGTACTCTGAATGATGGTGGGGTTGAGAAGTCGAAGAGATGGATTTATCTTTGATGTAGTCTGACTCAATGGCGAGATTCTTCAAATAAATGAGCGATTTTTCTCTTGTTATTTGGTCATTTGGAGAGGACCAGAAGACCAAGATTGTTACTGCTGAACAGGACACAAGGATGAAGATGGAAAGCATGACATTTGCTCGCGTTTTGATGCTGAAATTCATAGGGCATTCATTAGAAAAGTGCTATATTTGACAGCAAATGAATGTAAATAGATCGTTGATATAAAAACAAAGATGATGTGGACTTGTGCTTGGTCGCAATCTACTTTAGCTTTCTACACTTGCTCGGAGCGTCAGGGAGACCTCGTGGAACGTACCTAATCCCGTGTCCTCTGTCATAATATTGATGATTTCCAGAAGTGGACCATTGACTGGGTACTTGCCCAAATGTTTCGCCGGCAACGTCATTGCGAGGCGCCATCGTAGACACAGAGTTACAACTTATGAAAGTGACCAATTTCGTATTCAAACGTCGTGGCATCATTCCTCGCTCCCATTATTTCTTTTACCTTTTAATGTCGTATCTCTTTCTCTCAACTCCATTTCATATGACCCCTCCATTTATTCACACAATTCTCCCCCAATGTCGCCTAAGAGTGGGTTTAGTGATGCCATTTGGAGGGCTCCTGACCTACATTCTGCCCTCCATTTTTCTGACCATTTTGTCAATTGGCCAATTGACTAAGCATTAAAATCACAGTAGTTAAATTGAAGATATAAGAACCAAGATGTTGTGGTCTTGGGTATGGTCGCAGTCTCCTTTCGACTTATAGAAGTGGGTTGACTTCGTTGTCGCAACTTGGTCTTGTGTTCAGGGAGACTATGTAGAACGCACCGAGCCCGAAGTCGTCTGCAATAGTAGTTGTCATGATTTCCCGCATCCGACCGTAGACATGATACATTTTCAAACGTTTCGCCGGCCTCGTAGTCGGCATCATCAGTGAGCCTTGCCATTCTCCGCACC